GGTGGCCAGCACATTACTGCACTGCTACTTTCCACCCCGGCTCATGTTATAGATGCTTACCTCAAGACACAACTTCGCTCGCAGCTGAGAAGGAGATGTTAGATAATCCATCGCGCTTGTCTCTCATCAGATTGTTCGCTAACCACGAATGTACTTGTAAGCTTTGGGAATGAAAGCAACTGGCCAGCATATCACCTATCACAGTATTGATGATCATTTTTATCATGCTTTCCTCGGTCCGGTTGCTGTAACAATTCCGCACTGCAACACCGTTCATTTCATGGAACCCAAAAATATATTTTTTGTCGTCTACCGACACCGCAAGCGTAAAAGTGGGTTTTTGCAATTTCTTCATTTTTGTTCTAATTCCAAGCATTTTCCGCATCTTATCAACTTAAGACGATACATTTCGTTGCTATTAGACATTCAATATACTATTATCATTATGTATTATCAAAAATGTAAGGGCTTTTTGTTGCTTTCGTAACATTTCAACCGGATCATTTACGCTCATTTGCACATGGACCCTCTTTTCAAACGTTTGCAAAAGCGACTTCCAAGAATATGCAGCGTCCATGAGCTTGCGGAAAGACACACACAAACACACACCTCAATATGAATGTATATATTATTTTCGAACACATCCGGAAACCTACCTGAAGTGCCCTTCCTGTCACTGCTCTCTGCTTGCAAAAACTTAGAATTAGACGTACCGCTCTCCTACACTCTACTAAGCAAATGATCTGTTAACCTTTCACTTTCCTCTGTGAAAGTAAACAAATTAATAAATCGATAGAAGGACTCAGTGACTCGCCGCAAAAAGTAGCCTATCTTCTGCGCCGTGGCTTGTTTATAGGGGAGCAAATTTCAGCCTCATCGGTTCACAAACTAAAGATTCTTTAAGCCACATACTTGCATACGAACAAATTTACAGAGATTGAGTTTTATTTATATCATATCATCTATGACTTAATAATAACGGGCTAAGGGTTGTTTACGTCTGTTTGTCTGTGTGTCTGTGTGTACGTCTGTCTGTCACAAAATTCGTAGAGCGAGTTCCAGCCAACCTTCTGAGCCCAAATTTTGCACAGCGGATGCTGCCAACATGAGAGTCCAATATACTGCACGAGCGGATCCTTGGGTGGATCCCTCGAAAAATGCGCGTGAATCGGATCCACTTGGCTTTTGGCCAGTCAAATTGATCCTGTAGCACAACTTTTTGCAAAGCCACTGATATGTTTGACAAGTTAATGTGCAAGCCATGGACTTAAGCCTAAATAAGTGAACTAAGTTTATTACTTTGCGAAAACGGCGTCAAAAAAATAGATTACGTGAATGGTTAATTTGCTAAGATTTCACCCGATCATTTGAGAGGAATTTTGCACAGCGTTGTAGCCAACGGTGATTGTTGCACCTTATGGTGAACATCAAGCCATAAGAAGTCCAAAAACCAAATCAAATTTTCATTTGTTCTTCTGGGAAAAGTTTTATCCACGCGAAAATACCGACCTCATATGGAAAAGCGTTTGAAATGAGTGATGTTTACAAATCATTCGTGATAGCCTGCATAGCGCGGTGAGTTTCAATGTCATTATTATATGGGAATGAGTAAGACATACAGAAAGTAGGGCCAGTGCGGGCCTCTGCGAAGCAGGGGTGACGCACTGGTAACTTATAATAACGGGCTAAGGATGTTTACGTGACTTTGTGTGTGTGTGTGTGTGTGTGTGTGTGTGTGTGTGTGTGTGTGTGTGTGTGTGTGTGTGTGTGTGTGTGTGTGTGTGTGTGTGTGTGTGTGTGTGTGTGTGTGTGTGTGTGTGTGTCTGTTACGAAATTCGTGGAGCGTGTTCCAGCCAGCGTTCTAAGCCCAAATTTTGTACAGAGCATGCTACCTTCATGAAAGTCCAACATGCAAAAGCACGAGTAGATTTGTTGAGTGGATCCCTCAGAAATTGCGCGCCAAACGGATCCACCTGGCTTCTGTACCGCAAAATTCGGTCGGTGTCACCACTTTTTGCAGAGTCGTGGATGAGTTTGGTAAGCAGATGTGCAAGCGATGGAGTTTAGCCAGAAAAGTGGTCGAAAGTTTATTACATAACGAAAACGGCGCCAAAACGAATTGGTTGTGTAAATGGTCAATTTGCCAAGGTTCTAGCTAAGCGTTTGAGAAGATTTTCGCACAGGATGTACCTCACGGTTACTATTACCTTTATGGCGACAATCAAGCCATGAAAAATCCAAAAGCCTATTCATATTTGCGTTCATCTTCCTGCGAAAAGTTTCATCCACGCGAAATCACCGATCTCACGTGAAAAGACTTTCTAAATGAGTGGTTGTTTACATTTTATTCGTGGTAGTCGGCATAGCGCGGTGAGTTCCAGTGCCACGATTTTACGAGAATGAGTAAGGCATATAGATAGTAGAACCAGTGCGAACCTCCGCGAAGCAGAGGTGACGCACTGGTATAGATTTCAATTTGACAGTGTGCAACCATCAGATTGAAAGTGAGTCGAGTTCATTTCCTGCGGTGACGATGTTCGTCGCTCTCAAGCTTCAAGTTGTCATGAGAGGCCCGTTGGATGAAGAAAAAACTGTCTATCAGGCGCCTCTATTTCATGTTGAGCGATCGGCTGAATTCACACGAGCCGAAAACCTTGAGGAGAAGCAAATTCACCTGTGGAGAAAACATAATATGAGATTATCAACATAAAGTGTGGATCACAATACATATATACGTTTGCAATATATAAGTGTCGATCATAGGACAGCACTCAGTGTCGTCTGTCTCTTCTGTGCGGCTTACTGACTCTACTGACTCTCACTAACACCACGGTGGATAAAGGTTCGTCTTTTTATCAACATGCACTGTACGTTGAGTGCGGAGCGTGGTCTAGACTCAGCAGTGCGGGAAGACGTTTGGCGGTCTGGTCCCACAGATAACACTGCAATCTACTTCCAGGCCTCCGACGAAGACGATTTTGTCGAAACGTAAAGGGCCGGGCATACTTCACGCGATTTCAGTCGCGACGCGATTTGGCAGTATTCCAACTGTCCATAACTCACTGTAAGCACATTTTAAATGTTCACAAAGTAGGGAATTCTAACAATCCACGTTGGTTATACACACCATGCATGTGCAGTCTGCTAATATTGGATCTGAAGACTTCTGGCGAATTGCCAAATCGCGTCGCGACTGAAATCGCGTGAAGTATGCCCGGCCCTTAAGGCCAATAATGAATTCCACCTTAGGCCCCGGACAGACTTCACGCGATTTGATCGTCGCGACTCAATCGCCGACATTTCCATTCATTTTCATTTCACATTCAAAAATTTCGGGCTGGAAAAGTGTCACATCCGAAATGCAAGTTGATCGGCATGGAATGATGTTGTAACAGTTGTCTCGTCGCGATTCACTCGCGACGATCAAATCGCGTGAAGTCTGTCCGGGCCAAAGCTGGCACTGGCATAATATTATATGACAACTACTAACATCATTCAGAATGCCTAGGTTCAGAAGAGAGAGAACATTTAACTTACTGATCACAGTACATATAAAGCCATGCCATCATCAAAATATCAACTCCTTGTCCACATGTTAGGCATAATGTTGCAAATTTTTCAGTGAATATTTGAGTAAAGAATCCCGTCAAAAAAGGCAAAAAACACTCAGGGTTTGTATTCTATTAGAATTTTTAAAATGCGAAAAGGGCATCTAGAGGAATCATTTTTACGACGTCCAGCTTCGCAGTTAGGCCACTATCCACTGCATCAACTACCTAAGTAACTCGGCAGCAACTCGGGTATGCGAACGTGTTGGCAACCCGCCACGAAAAAACCTTCATAACTCCTTCAATGACTACACATCGCTTACCAATTCATCACTACGATTTGGGATCGTTCTCTTGTAAGAAGACTTTGAGAGTGTGTTGCATTTGAGACTTGAAATTTAGTCACTTTGTTCGATGCTTGCTCATTCAATTACTGCGAACACCCGCGGCCCTTAAACCTTGAATTTTGAGAATGATCAGCCGCGGTCCTACATTTATATGTTTGGCAATTCGCGGCTCAGTTATCCCGAGGAAAAGGTCGCGGACCCTAACTGTTTCATCGGAACACCAGCAGCTCAAGAAAAAACACTCAGGCAAGCCCGGGGCCTTACAGGACACCCAGAAAAAGAAAAATGATCCGCACACGCGCGAATCATTTCACTAGCAAGAATATACCCTAAAATCCGTACAATAAGTCCGCCTATCAGATAGGTCCACCTATCAGATAAGTCCGCAGCAGACGTAGCAAATAAGTCCGCTTTTTTGACAATGAAGGTTGCCCTCGCGCCGCCAAGAGTCCTGCAGATAAGTGCGCTTTCTCATGCTCAGGATAGGCGAACTTATCTGTTGCGGACTTATCTGATAGAGGATTTAGGAGGACTTATCTGCAAGACGTTTGGCGGTGCAGAGGGCGATTTTTCATCGATTTTTCGTGTCAAAACTGCAGATAAGTCCGGACTTATTGTACGGATTTTAGGGTAGGCAAATATTGCTTACAATGATGCGTTTGCGCCACAACCTCGAATGCGCCATTTCAATACTCATGCGTTGCGTCTGTCTCAACGGGGTCACCACTAATGACTGTGAGCTGAGTGCATAGGTGAAACTGGAATGAGTCTTGTGGCAAAAAGTGTTCAAATGGAAGATTTGCATCATTGGACGGAATCAAAGAATTACTGATAAGACACATAAAACAGGTATAGTACATGTAAAGTTTTCCTGACACGTGAGAATAAGCCGTTTTCTCTAGGGTTTGGGATTTGATGAATCTTTCGGGGGCGAAGGATAAAAAGTCTCTTTTGCAATAACGGCGAAGTACTTGCTCATAGCTATCTCCCGTGTTTGATGGAACATACCTCTAAGTAAGCTGTTTATTTTCAGTTTCTTCCCAGTCAATATTTATCACTACTTTGCAATGCTATGGCTGAAGAGTAAGATTCATTTTTAAGTCCAACTTCATTCAAAATAGCAATGAGTGGTTGGTGTTAGAATTACCTCGGACTCTGCACAGCTAATCGTTCTCTTTTCAAACAGCCGTTCGTCCATCAAAAGAATCCGAATACGATTTGAACGATCCCAAAACAAGGGAACTTTATATGAACTATCGTCCAGAATCTGCCACACCTGAGTGTAGAGGATTTGAGCTGCTCCGAACTGCCAGATACAATAAGGTGAGATTCAGTGCGCCACTATTAAGAGATAGAAGCATAGAAGCCAGCAGCTGACATGCCAAGTGCAATGAAGTGTCTGATAGCGGTAACAATATCACGTCAGGCCTCGGGCATGGTTCATGCGATCATCGCCTTGCGATTCTCTTCCAACAAGACAACTGTTACAAGTCCATTGCATGCCGGCTTGCATCTCGGCTGTGATAGTTTTCCGACACACTAATCGCGATGACTATCACAACCGAAGTACAAGATGATCGGCATGCAATGAATTCGTAACAACTGTTTGTCGGGAGAATCGCGAGGCGGCGAAATCGCCCGAGTTATGCGCGAGACCTTAAGCGCCGGACATACATCATGCGATTTCATTTCGATTTCATTGCCTCGCGATTTTCTCACCGAGACATCTACTGTTAAGAGTCCATTGCATGCCGATCATCTTGCACAGGTTGTGATAGTCGCGCTTGGTGGCGTGGTAAAACAGAACTCAGAGGCATTATCAAAAGTTGTCTCACTGCGATGGTAGTCTGGTTTTCCCCTCTTCTCGCGTTCTTTGTCGGCAACTAGCATCCCACTGCCAGATAGAGCGGGAAATAGGCCTGAGCGAAGGCGGTTGTCCAGAATCGAGTTGTACGCCAACATTGATAGCCCTAATGACGAAAAATGCTCGGCCCTGCGCTCGTAATCGCAAAGTGAGGCAGTCGTTGCACTCCTTCGAAGGGTGTGAAGATGAATGCCAGAAATTGATGGTAGCCCGTAGGGCTCGGGCATACTTCACCCGATTTCAGACGATACGCAAACTGGCAATTTGACTGACGTCTTCAGATCAAATACTGGTAGACTACAAGTGCACAATGTGCATAACTATTGCCGATCATAAAAGCTCTATCTTCTGTGCATTCAGAATGCGCTTGCGATGACTTATAAACAGTCGGAGATTTGCCAAGTCGCATCGGGACTAAATCGCATGAATGCCAGGAGCCATATTTTGAGAATTTGATGTCAAACGGTTTTGAAGGTAGCAACTTTTGATGAAGGTGATTGTCTCTCGTTGACTATGAGAAACTTTTGCATCGTCGAAGCAATGTCGTAGTGTCAACGTCCGCCAAGGAGTAGACGCAGCTTAAGGGAATATTGGCCACTGCTACAAGGGTATGCGAATATATGAATTTGGCCTTGTTCGAGAAGTCCAAGAAGAGACACTTCTTCAGAAAGCTGCGAGAATGAAGTCACGTGGATGAAATTAGTAGAAATGCATACCAAGCGATGGAGAGGATTCTTCTTACACTTGCATATGACTTCGTTTTCTTTTGAAGCAGTACTGACGTAGAGACGATATTGAAGGAACAAAACGTAGGGAAGAAGATCGCAAATTAAGGAGACTTTAGCGAGATTCACTTCATGAAAAACGGCCTCTGAAATATACAGTTAAAGAATAGAATTTAATCCTTCTATGGAGACGTCCTTACCAAAACTACAGTAAATTGGTTGTTGGGCTAAATCTCAAAAGCACAAATAAGCAGCTTGTCTGTCAACAGGCCAATACAGATAGCTGTCCAAAATTGGGAAACTCAATGCTATGCGAAAATACACGCTTTGGCAAACCCATCATAAAAGCGCGGAGATGTAATTATAGATAGGGAAGCAGTAATGCTGAGGATGAATACTTCCGCGATAGCGAAATAGCTCCGACCAAGTGCAGTTTCACCTAAATACAGAGTCGAGTATGCTGCCGCCACAGCCAAGACCATGAGTAGGGTCAAGCGAGTTGTGGCACGCCACACCCGGGAGGGGGGGGGGAGTTTTTTGAGAGGTCAGAGAAGCGACTTCGTAGTCGAGGCCAGCCAAATTCTGTTTGCCCTACAGCCTCTATTCTGCTTACGGTAGATGAGCGATAATGCTGGGGTTCATCGAGACAGCTAAGGAAGAGAGAGGAGGGGTCGTTCGACGACCGCCACACCCTCTCGCTCGACCCTCATCATGAGTTCTAAAACTGCTTGCTTCTCTGACGTTGATGAGCTCTGCGTCCATATACAACACTAAGACTCTTAGTCAAAGTTAGATTCGAGTTGTCAGGGGTATGAAGCAGAAATGAAGTCGCGCACAAACTGAATCAAACATACTGAGATGGAAGTGCAAAGATTGAATTCCGCCTCTTTCTTTTAGGCCCGTATGCACGTACATCCCCGCGGAAAGGGGTGAGGATCTGAGAGGGAAGCTTCATATCTCGCTAGTCTACATATCTTTCTCCTTCTTTTTCTATCTTGCTTATGTAGTTTCTCATATACTGATACCTGCGCATAACGGATGCCAGGTTACTGCCATACAAGATTGAATATTCACTATTTCATCTGATACCCTGAGGATCCCCAGGGGATCACCCCACATGTTCAAAGTCATTTATCTTCCTGAAAAACCAATGAAAACACTGCAAAATTGTACTGAAGATATACTACGATACTGCTGAGCATGTTTTCGACAGAAGAAATGGAATCCGAAAAATTCGATTTTTTCGATAATCCCTGACTCGCGAGCAGCGATTCATCGATTTTGACATCTTGAGATTTCACTCATTTCTATTATAAACATTTTTAGCAGTGCTGTAGTATATTTTCAGTACAACTTTAGAGCATTTTCATTAAGCTTTCAGGAAGATAAATGACTTTGAAATTGTAAGGTGATCCCCTGGGGATCCCCAGGGGATCAGACGAAATGGTGAATAACTAATCTTGTATGGCAGTAACCTGGCATACGTTATGCGCGAATATCAGTGTTATGAGAACCTTTAGAAGCAAGACATAGAAAGAAGAAGAAAGATTCATGGACTAGCAAGATATGACGCTTCCCCTCTCAGGTCCCCTCCCCTCCCCGCGGGGATGCACATGCATACGGGCCTTAGTAAGCTTAGTGAGTCAACTTCTAGTGACTCACTAAGCTTACTAAAAGAAAGAGGTGGAAGTTTATGAGATACGCTTGAATTGTTCCGATGCACTTCAGGGCATGGCGTTCAATTTGTTCGAAAGGCAATTTTTGGGAGTTCACGGCTTACTTCCTGCCGCATTCATGACAATAGAGCAGCAAGCATATCGAGTGATGTCAAGACTGCGCCAACAACCCAACGATCTTGCCAGGTGAGCGCTTTTTTGACCCTATTTGATTATTTTTCCTTGCTTTAGGTACATTCAGTTGGCCAGTCTTCAAGATTTAAACGAGAAATTATACTACAAAGTGATTTGCGACAACGTCAAGGAATGCATGCGCCTTGTTTACACTCCCACTGTCGGACTCGCATGCCAAAAATTCGGCTATATTATAAACAACGCAAAGTTGGCAGATTATTTCAGTAAATTTTCTCAGACATTTTCTTTTCTTGTTCAAGGGGCTTATATATCACCATCAACGACAACAGTGTCCACAAAATATACCAAATTTTATCGAACTGGCCTCAGAAAGACATACAGGTGATTCGCTTTTGCATTATACTTGAACAGATGACATACCCTTATATCTAATTGGCTTGGCGTCTGGAAAACGGGGCTGCGTGACCTAATCAAGACTGAATGATGATCAGAGAGCATGCGCGCGACAAAGACGCAGACTGCGTCGCGGGCGCGAGCGACCATAATTAGGCCACAGAGCCTCGCCTTCCAGCGGCCAAGCCAGTTGAATCAAAAGTTATATGCGCAGTGTAGTAGCAAATCATTGCTAGCAAGTTTAAATGGATATATATTTAGTCTTGCTTTCACAGCCCCTAGATTAGTTTCTTACAACCTACTTTCAGGCAATTGTGGTAACGGATGGAGAAAGAATTCTTGGCCTCGGAGATCTTGGCGCATTCGGCATGGGGATACCCGTTGGCAAGCTAGCTTTGTATGTAGCACTGGCCGGAGTACATCCTGGACGCTGCCTACCGATAACCCTCGATGTTGGCACCAATAATAAGGTTTGCATATGATAGTTGTGTGACAGGACTAAACTTTCAATTACAAGTAACAGCTTATCTCAATCGGGACCAGCTGAAGCATGCATCGGCAGCTGTTAGTTATATGTTGCATTCGAGGCTAGTACCCAGACAAATGACCGGAACATCCCTGACTGCGAGACTTACTTGCTATCCTCTTCACTACGGATGACATGTTCGGCAGTGCACTTACCCTAATATCTGAGTTTATAATGGATGACAGAACATTGTCACACGAACAGAGTTTCTAGTTAGGTTAGGTGATTAGATTTGGTCCAGTGAGGATCCCCCGGGGATCACCTCTCATTTCAAAAGTCATTTATCTATCTTGAACTCCATGAAGAGTTCGCGAGCTGAGGCTTATCAAAAGTCACAACCTGCACAATCCATTTATGCTGAAAACATTCCTAGCGGTTCCATAGTAGATCCTTAGTATGACTTTACGCCGTTTTCATCAACTTCCTCGAAAGATAGACGACTTGAAAATCGCGAAGTGATCCCTCAGGATCCCCTAGGGAATCACGAACAGTAAAAATCTCGCCTGTATGGCGATGTTCTGCATCCACTACATCCACGTAAGTTATAAAAAGGTTTATAACATAGAAAAATGCACTTCTGTCTTCATTCTTCCCCCCGAGTGGTCGGCTAGCTTTGCTTGTCCATTCCAACGGTCAAGGATAGAAGAGAGGGAGTAGCCGGTGGAAGAAACCGTGGCTGGTCCACCGGTGATCCTTGCACGAAAGTCAAAAGCGGATCCGCGAACCCAGACCGAACTGCGAACTCCCAACTTTCGGAGTCTGTAGCTGGCAAGAAGTCATGGATCTCCGTCAGTGGAGCGATACGAAGTACGTCTACATTCACACCTAACGAACTTACTCGGAATCATCACGGTTTTTATTGTAGACCGTTGAGGGTTAATAAATAGAAATAGAACATAGAGAAAAGAAAAATACAGATATCTAGAGTAGCGAAATATGAGCGTCCCTATCAGATTCCCTCCGCTCCCCAGTTGTACGTGCAGGGGTCTAAGTGGCTGCGGGCTGAAGCGAGGCCCCCCAGAAAGGACAGATGCTTCTTGGAACGATTACGACTAATACACAGCAGAACTAGTTCAAATCTAGAAACAGTCTATTTTTTAAGACATTGCTCAACGACCCCTTCTACACGGGGCTAAGAAGAAAGCGAACACGTGGGCACGAATATGACACTCTAGTAGACAATTTTTTGAAAGCGGTAGTCAAAAGGTCAGGGGAGGCTATTCAGACCTTTTTCAGACGTTTGCTTCCCAATTTGTAAGTAATCTCTACCTTTATTCCAGATTTGGACGCGATACACTTATTCAGTTTGAAGACTTTGGAAATGCAAACGCTTACCGCTTACTGGACAAATACAAGGAACATTACTGCACCTTCAATGACGATATTCAAGGTAAAAATTGCATGTATCCTATAGAACATACGGAGAAGAGAAATTAACCATTGCAGGGACGGCAGCCATTGTCCTCGCTGGTCTGCTCACCACTTTGAGAGTGACCAAAAAGAAGCTAGCCGATTATAAGATTTTCTTCTTCGGTGCTGGAGGGGTGAGTTTAACATACTTCACTGCTCAAAAGTAGTAGAAGCTTGCACCACACAACAGAAGATATAGTAAGCTAAGAAACGTAAGGAACATTACAAATGGTAAGCCACTCCAGCATTGAGCCGGAGTGGCGTCTTCAACAGACAGCAGAAATCCCTTTAGGTTTTTCGGAAACCTGAGGTACATCAATATGGAGACAGTTTTTTGAGTGTTTTTGCATTTTTTGTCTGAGTCTCCGCCCCGGGCCTTGGCGATATCCCTTTTGCTTTCTCTCCCAGAGCATCTGGGTTGACGTATTCCCACCGGCGTCGGAATCTCGGACTCTTTGCGAAATATGACCCCACATTGACTTGTGATTCAATGAAACATTTGTGGCTAACAGAATGACCCCCATAATTTCACCGATGCTGAAATATTGCTCTCACCTACCTGAAACGCGCTAAAAAGACCTACCTAAAATCACTGGTGTTTTCATACCCAGCGAATTCTCCATAGCGACCTGCGACCATCAGATACAGCAACTTATAGGTTAACCAGATATCATGGGCCTTTCAAAGATGAATAATGCAAAAGAGTAACAGAACGCTTTTTCTGCGCTCAGTTGTAAGCACAGGTTATGATGTATGTATTATACTGTGCATGACAATATTGCATGCTAACCTATCCGTGATTTGTAAGGCACACATCGAAGTGGGGGAGGAGGAGGGGGGGGGATATGATAGTACCGTATGCCACAGCAACATATATTGGATAAAAAACGTCTAAAGGGAACAGCCAGCGGCTTGTACGCTCGCGACCGCTCAGCATTGGTCGTATTCGCTGACATACAATACCGCTCATAATTCGTCAAAAAAGTCGCCGGACTGCGGCGCACTCCGCCACACTCCGGCGCACTGTGGCGGAGTGCGGCAGAGTGCGCCACACTCCGCCGCAGTGCGCCGGAATGATCGTCAATTTAGCCATATCTCGCTTCAGAATGGACGAATTCTGAATCCGAAGACACCGTTCGATTCAGCTCGACGAGACGCATCATCCTGTATATGAAGCTGAACTTCTGTTTGTCTGTTTGTCTGTACGTATGCTCCGAATAGAAAAATCCTTTTCTCAACTGATCCGGACACAACTTGGCACGCATACACTTCGGGCCCCGGCGGGTGTCATAGGCTACTTTTCGTCATCGATCGATATCGATTTTATCGATTTTTATCATTTTTTTGCAGAGTTCACTACGGGGCTGGGAGTTTGCATAGAGGGTAATCGAGCATGGGGATTCCGAATACAATATTAGTTTTCAGGATTATCGATTATTATTTTGGTTGAATTCAGTGTGCTGATAACAGTATTACCATTGATCTGTCGCTGATGACACATAGACAGTATAGTACAGGAGTATGGTAGAGAGCCACTCTGATCGAATTTGTTCTAAGATCTGCTCAAAATCACAATACCGCCCACAGAATGTCAAAATTTCCGTGAACTTCGCGGAATTCCGGGATTTCCGCCAGAGTGCACGATAATCCGGGAAGTTCGCGACATTTCAGGATCCGCGAAACCATGCGAATCACGCAGAATACGCAACGCCATAACTTCCTTCGGAACGAATATATTCCGAATCCAGAAGCAGCATTGTGTTCAGCGTCGAGGCAAATATTTTGATATACAGTATGCTCTCGATATTCCATTTCCAGTTTTTTCGAAATTTTTCTGGGGTGCGGGAACTTACCTACCCGAAAGACTTGCCGCAGCGTACTTTAGGTATCATGAGCAGTCCGATACGCAATTAGCATAGTGTACAGAGCCTAGTCTGTGTGTATTGTAAGCCCCGCCCCATCCATCGACTCTTTCGCGATGCATCCATCAATCTTGAAACCGGGAATTCAACAGATTCACAAAATTGATGTTCAGCAACAATATCTGCTCAAACTCGACGAAAATATAGATTTAGGGGTTTTTTGAAGCGCTCTCTTCAAATATGCTATTGGTTTTCCGCTGCCTTTTCTTATAGGAGCCGAAATTTTGCTTTGGTGAAAGGACTTTTAGCTTAAGAAATCTCGACAAAAAAAATAAAGCAATAGCCTTAGGACGCATGTAAAACTGCTTTTTCACTTTTTCTCTCGGAACATTGTTCTGAGAGAAAAAGTGAAAAAGCAGTTTTCTAGTGAGAACAGCATGCCATGAGGATGTGACCTTAATGATAAAAGATTATGAAGGTGAGCTAGTCAAACAAACGATCAATGTGTACAGGACGCTGCACATGTTTTTGTGATTTAAATATTTTATCTAAATAATTGATATATCTTTATAAATGTCTCGGCTCCATGCCAAAAAGATGCTATGTGTGGGCGGGGCTTAGCTTAGCGCTGTATCCTAAGGAGCATCTGGAATCAGCGAGCTCGATTGTACCCCGCAGATAGACACCCATGAGGTGCGAGAATATCTTGGGTAGGTAAGTTCCGTTCCCCATTTTTCTGTGGAGGTCTTTTCGCAAGGATGTAACGCAGCGTCTGTGTAACATAAAAGATTCCAGTAAGCACTGTTCGATGGTACTGTCCTTGTAGGTTATCGTGCGTTCAAGTGTAGCTGCAGACTGTCTCCCAAAAGAGTTAGAAGCTTTGGTGAATTTTGGAAAAATCACGCGTTTCTAAATTCTACTCGCCGTAACTTCCTTCGGAATGAACATATTCTGAATCCGAAGAAAGCTTTGTGTTCAGTTCATCAAGGCAAGTCTTTCAATATACAGCTTATCCTTGATATTCCGATTTCAATATTCTCAAATCTTTCTGTAGACGTCTTTTCGTGAAGGTGTAAAGCAGTGCGCATTGCCCATAGTAGACTCCAGCAAGGACCTTTCGATAGTACTTTTTCTGTAGATTACGTAGCGCTAAAAAGTAGTCACAGGCATCTTTCCACAGGAGTTAGAAGGGCTGGCGAATTCTGGAAAAATCATGTCGTTCTAAATTTTTATCAACGTAACTCTAAAATATGAAGCTCTCTTGTTAAGCAGATGTGATTTTCGTAATCAGGAAGTCGAATAACCCTTGTAAGCAAGTTTTCCAAGATGTTCGAGTAATTTCATTTTTTCTCGTTTTACGCTCTGAAGCTGGCCGATAGATTTTGGTCAAAATGTTCATGTTCTTAAATTGTAAGGAAACTTCGCTTATAGAGGTTTTCGAACACGCTCTTTACGAAAATCAAGGTCTTTGAGGATTACGGGGTCTTTTTGGTGAGATAAGGTGATGACTGTAACTGCATCACGAAAGCTCGTAACTTCGCCTCCACCTCTCACGTGTCTGTCAAAGAACCTGCCTGCATGCTTTTCTCACTCAAAGTTACTAGGAGATCTGCTATCGAATTGTGCATTACTCAGGCTCCAGTCTATAAAATTCGCCGAGTTACGAGCCTATGAAAACACTTTCTCATGAATTTTGCTCAAGATGTAAAGATCGCAAATTTCGTCGAAATTCCACCGTGAGTGCTTGTATGACACTCGCATTGCAAATATTATGTTCGCTTAGCTCAATAACTCTACTGTATTGAATATGGTGCTTGCGTGTGCTTCAGCAATTGATATCAAAACTGTTTTGTGGCTACAGCTCAAATCACCAAATCTCACAATAAGATCCATTAAGAATGTGAAAAGATTTGATCAGCATTCGATAGCACATCTCCTAGTAACTTTGAGTGAGAAAAGCATGCAGGCAGGTTCTTTGACAGACACGTGAGAGGTGGAGGCGAAGTTACGAGCTTTCGTGATGCAGTTACAGTCATCACCTTATCTCACCAAAAAGACCCCGTAATCCTCAAAGACCTTGATTTTCGTAAAGAGCGTGTTCGCAAACCTCTATAAGCGAAGTTTCCTTACAATTTAAGAACATGAACATTTTGACCAAAATCTATCGGCCAGCTTCAGAGCGTAAAACGAGAAAAAATGAAATTACTCGAACATCTTGGAAAACTTGCTCACAAGGGTTATTCGACTTCCTGATTACGAAAATCACATCTGCTTAACAAGAGAGCTTCATATTTTAGAGTTACGTTGAGAAAAATTTAGAACGACATGATTTTTCCAGAATTCGCCAGCCCTTCTAACTCCTGTGGAAAGATGCCTGTGACTACTTTTTAGCGCTACGTAATCTACAGAAAAAGTACTATCGAAAGGTCCTTGCTGGAGTCTACTATGGGCAATGCGCACTGCTTTACACCTTCACGAAAAGACGTCTACAGAAAGATTTGAGAATATTGAAATCGGAATATCAAGGATAAGCTGTATATTGAAAGACTTGCCTTGATGAACTGAGCACAAAGCTTTCTTCGGATTCAGAATATGTTCATTCCGAAGGAAGTTACGGCGAGTAGAATTTAGAAACGCGTGATTTTTCCAAAATTCACCAAAGCTTCTAACTCTTTTGGGAGACAGTCTGCAGCTACACTTGAACGCACGATAACCTACAAGGACAGTACCATCGAACAGTGCTTACTGGAATCTTTTATGTTACACAGACGCTGCGTTACATCCTTGCGAAAAGACCTCCACAGAAAAATTTCGAAAAAACTGGAAATGGAATATCGAGAGCATACTGTATATCAAAATATTTGCCTCGACGCTGAACACAATGCTGCTTCTGGATTCGGAATATATTCGTTCCGAAGGAAGTTATGGCGTTGCGTATTCTGCGTGATTCGCATGGTTTCGCGGATCCTGAAATGTCGCGAACTTCCCGGATTATCGTGCACTCTGGCGGAAATCCCGGAATTCCGCGAAGTTCACGGAAATTTTGACATTCTGTGGGCGGTATTGTGATTTTGAGCAGATCTTAGAACAAATTCGATCAGAGTGGCTCTCTACCATACTCCTGTACTATACTGTCTATGTGTCATCAGCGACAGATCAATGGTAATAGTGTTATCAGCACACTGAATTCAACCAAAATAATAATCGATAATTCTGAAAACAAATATTGTATTCGGAATCCCCATGCTCGATTACTCCTCTGTGCAAACTCCCAGCCCCGTAGCTCAAACTTTGCAAAAAAATAGATAAAAGCGATAAAAGTATTCGATAATCCTGAAAACTAATATTGTATTCGGAATCCCCATGCTCGATTACCCTCTATGCAAACTCCCAGCCCCGTAGTGAACTCTGCAAAAAAATGATAAAAATCGATAAAATCGATATCGATCGATGACGAAAAGTAGCCTATGACACCCGCCGGGGCCCGAAGTGTATGCGTGCCAAGTTGTGTCCGGATCAGTTGAGAAAAGGATTTTTCTATTCGGAGCATACGTACAGACAAACAGACAAACAGAAGTTCAGCTTCATATACAGGATGATGCGTCTCGTCGAGCTGAATCGAACGGTGTCTTCGGATTCAGAATTCGTCCATTCTGAAGCGAGATATGGCTAAATTGACGATCATTCCGGCGCACTGCGGCGGAGTGTGGCGCACTCTGCCGCACTCCGGCGCACTCTGCCACACTCCGCCACAGTGCGCCGGAGTGTGGCGGAGTGCGCCGCAGTCCGGCGACTTTTTTGACGAATTATGAGCGGTATTGTACCTCCTGCGCATATCCTACGCTTACACAGCGGTTAGGTTGGAGAGTATAAAACCCAAAAAACCCGGTCGCAAACCAGATTAGACGGTGGAAGGTTTTGAATTTCAGATATGGCACGCCGGATGTGGTAGAGCATGGCTCTCGGCTTAATACGCCTCTGGTAGCTGCTCCATGCAAACGGTCTGCTCCACTTCGAAATCAGAATCTCCATCAGGGGCGGTGTGTATCAATCGCCCGTCCGGGTGAAGGTTCCCATTCAAGTAGTGCTTCATAGCTCTGGCTCCGGGGATCTGCGTTCTTCCTTGTTTGTCCATCTTTCGAATGGCCCTACTACTCTACCCTAATATTGTAGCATAATGAATAGCAGCACTTTCCTATATAGGCTGAGACGAAAATCTCAGCTTATACAGCAAGTGCTGCTATTCATTATGCTACAATATTAGGGTAGTAGGGCTACCAAAATATGGACACAAGGAAGAACACAGATTCCCAAATTTCACAGATTTCCGAGCTATGAAGCGGATACTACCTGAATAGGAACTCTCCCCGGAAGGGCGATTGATACGTACCGCCCCAGATGTCTGTCTACTGGGATGCGGACGACCAAAATTGTACTGCTGAACGAAGGTGCAAAAGCAGTCTAGCGGGCACACGGCGGTATGGGGGTTTGCCAGATCGTGAAGGTCGTACCGGCTACGAACCCTGCTCATGCAGGATGCCACAAGGCCCCAAACCAGTTGTAGAACACCCGTACTTCTCAACGCAAACTCCCGATCTTCACAAAGGAACAGCCTTTATCTATAGTCTACCATGTACCTAATGCGCCGCCTTATGCACTCTGCGGCTAATGAGACCGCGTTGGAACCCCCAGGCTCCTTCGTCCAGCACTAGACCTTATGTGTGCGAAAACTACACAAAGCGGAGCATGGCGGCCGCGACTTGAGACACCAGAGTCGCGACACTGTTACTGGAGCAGCATATGCAATACATCACAATTTAGGATACGATCGAGGCATTATTCTTAAGAAGGATTTCTGGAACTCTCAAATTTAACACGCTCAAATCTTATATATAAAGCTGAATGTCTGTTTGTCTGTCTGTCTGTCTGTATGTCTGTCTGTACAGTCGAGTAGATTTAACGGTAAATATAGTGTGCTTGCACAGAAGGTGAAATGCGGTAAAGTTGGCGCGTGAAGAAATAGTTTCGACTGTGACGCCGGCCAATTGCGCGCGCAAGATACCCGCGGTACTGACGTGGCTACTTGTTCACGCGCAAATTTCACTTTCACCTTCTGTGCAAGCACACTATATTTACCGCTAAATCTACTCGACTGTATGTCTGTCTGTCTGTACGTATGTTCCGAATAGAAAATTCCATTTCTGAACCGATCCGGACCAAACTTGGCACACATACACTTTGGGCCCCGGCGGGTGTCATAGGCTACTTTTCGTCGTCGATCGATATCGATTTTATCGATTTTTTGCAAAATTTGAGCTACAGGGCTGGGAGTTGGCACAGGGGGGGGGGGGGGGTAATCGAGCATGCTGATCACCCCCGTGGGGGTGATCAGCATGCTCGATTACACCCCTCTGCCAAATTCCAGCCCCCTGCTCGATTACAGCCCTCTGCCAAATTCCAGCCCCCTAGCTCAAATTTTGCAAAAAATCGATAAAATCGATACCAATCGATAACGAAAAGTGGACTGTGACACCCGCCGGGGCCCGAAGTGTATGTGTGTCAAGTTTGGTCCGGACCGGTGAGAAATGGAATTTTCTATTCGGAACATACGGCGGAGCCGGGTAAGCCAGCTAGTAACATATATCTGTATGTGAAGTGAGCTGCATTTCGTCAGCGCTGTTAGTTAATCACAAACATCACTTCTTCGCATGTCACGGCATCCATTGCAACTACTCAAAGACTATAATAGAGAAATGCTGTTTGAGGCAAACACTGGAGTAGCCGAGCTGTGCATTCGTCAGATGGTTGACGAAGGAATCTCAGAGAAAGAAGCGTGCTCGAATATATTCTTGTTCGACATTGATGGACTTATAACCACCAATCGCTCGGATATATCGCCTCGGCATAAACGATTTGCTAAGGTCTGTCTTGTAATTTTCCGCTAGTGTTCCTTATGGGGTTTTAACTCTTGTTCAGGACCTTCCCAACACAAAGGACTTACTGAAAGCGATACAATTGGCAAAACCACAAGCACTCATCGGTACCATTTGATTCAACTGGCTTGGCTTCGAGAAGGCGGAGCTCGAGAGAGCGGGCGTAACCTAATTAAGACTAGCAAGTGATCAGAGAGCACCCGCACGAGAGAGACGCAGCTGCGTCGCGTCCGCGAGCGGCCTCAATTACGTCGCGAAGTCCCGCCTTCCCGAAGCCAAGCCAGTCGAATCGGTTAGGACACTTCCGCATAGATGCATCAAGGAATGGACCTCTGCCAGAGATTGGAGCTAAGAGCATTTGCAAAAAAAATTTGAGACTGTTGACCGTCGCTCTCGCGAATCCAATTTTAATGAGGAGGTCTTTCCAGGAGCTTCAACCAAAGGCGGCGCATTCACTAAAGAAATTATCGAGGAGATGTGCAAGCACAGCGAGCGACCGACTATATTTGCCCTCTCGAACCCAACGAAAAACTCGGAATGCACAGCAGAAGAGGCTTATAGATACACAAATGTAAGCGTTTATTCACACATCACATAAAGAACTAGCTCAGGCATTCAGGGAAAAGTACTGTTCGCTTCGGGGTCACCTTTTGAGAATGTAGAAATGAACGGAAAAGTCTACAAACCTGGTCAAGGAAACAACGCGTACATATTCCCTGGAGTGGGGCTAGGATGTATATTATTCAAAGCGAAACACATTCCTGATACAATCTTTCTCCTAGCAGCCAGGGTAATCTTTGATTTGTCATCTTTGAGCCTTACAGCAGAAGGTAATCCATTGCAGAAAGTTGCGAGTTTGGTGACTGAGAAATCGCTTTTCAAGTATGCTCGAATATATCCGCGTCTGAAGAACATTCGCGAGATATCTGTACAAATTGCCGTAGAGGTGCGTTGTTTATACATGGAAGTTGATGGAATGCCATCATGGGTGTTAAGGTCGGAAACTACTTATACAAACAGGATCTATCCTCTTTGGTTCCTGAACCAGATGACATGGTAAGTTGTGTTGCCCGCGTAAAAAACTGACCTATCGTAAAGCACTTTTTAAAGTACCAAAGCGCAAACAAACTAAACAGGGCCATGGGGATGGCCCACCTGCTCGGATAGCTAGCACAAAGCTGTAATATGTAGACGCGTGTAATTTGTTACAGATGCCCGACTTGCGCTTCTCTGTTCACCGACATAACGTCCTCCAACAGCGCTTTTTGGCATCAAAGATCGTTAGCTTCTCTTTACAAGCGTAAAGTTTGTAGCCATAGAGGACAACTTTCCTATGTTATAGTAATTACTAGCTGCGAGCAATTTCCCGAGAAATTCTAAAATAGAAAAAATCGTGTGTGGCTGTGCAATTAACATAGCATACCATTCACACACTTCAGACTTCCGAATGACAATTAATTCGTTCAACGAAAAATTAGAAAGACATGTAAAGATTGTGGTCATTAAAAGCCGCACGAATACCACAAAGCCTTTTCCCTACTTTGCAATAATATTAGAATATTCATATCAGCCTTGCTCTCATTAAGGATGGGGGAGCAGCTTTACATGGCCACCTTTAGCAGACGAGTTTGTTATATTATTACAATTACAGGAGATGTACGTTCGAGTGAACGTCTATTCCACAGAATATGAGGATCTGATCACGAAACCCTATGAATGGCCATCACAAGACACCAAGCAGGGATACCCAGTGCCAAAACTTGAGCGCTTATCGATGGAAGACGAGTAATCTAATAAATATTCAGTTTTCAAATGCGTGAAAGGAAAAAAATTTATTCACGAAAAAACAGCAACTATCCAAAATTATTGCACGTCAACCTCAAAGTGAAGTGTACAGCTCAAGCAATCAGTAAACAAAACAATAACAAAAACAACAACAAAAGTCAGCTAAGAATCTTAGGTGCCCCGCCCACTTCGCTTATAATCACCTCTCTAATAACAAAAGACGTATTAGGATGTGGAACTTCAACAGATCCATCTCCACAACCTTTGAGAAGAGGACGGACATTCTCAGGTAATTGTAGATGTCGGGATATGTGATTCAGTAAATCGGTAATATTGGCTTCTTCCACAAAAATACAAGCATTGGGACCCGCATCAAACGAATAAGCCGCGCGAATACCAGCAGAATTGAATTCGTTGATGGATCGTACCACAGACCACGAAGCATCGGACATGTACTGAAAATCCTAAGGATGTAGTGTCACAGAAGCCGAATATAGGGTGTCCCAACAAAATGTGCCTATGTTTGACTGTAAATAACTCTCTTGTAGTCAAGTGTTTCGAGAACCTTCATGTACCATTTTGTAGACCGAGGTTGAACTTAGGTTCACCGGAGCGAATCATCTATCGCTCTTCATTACTGTAGGATTATAGTACGAACTTCGACAAGAATTTTAGGCCATTGGAGACATCTGCCTCGGAACAAAACCAAATAGCAAAAACTCTTATGCTACGGTAATGGGAGCCGCTGATATCGAATTTGAAAGTCTCTTTACTATGATGCTTCTTTCCTGAATTATCCCCCGTAAATCATAATAACTCATTTTCCAGCATTTGTCAGAAAAATTACACCGTCAAAAAAGCTGAAAACACTCGTAAAAAGTTGATAGGTGGAATCAGCATGCGCGAAAACCCTAGTACACGATTTTTCAGATTTTTTGAAAAAAAAATTTGTTGGGTGGTGCATTTCCCAATGATACATATGCTGGAAGTTCTTACCGTAATGCAGTAATGAAAAGCAATAGATGATTCGTTCCGCACTGTAAACCTAAGTTAACCTCGCTCTACAAAATAGGACCTAAAGCTTCTCGAAACACTTTATTACAAGCGAGTTAATTACAATCAAACAGTAGGTACTTTTTTAGGACACCCTGTATATGCGAAAAAATTGAAGAAAAAAATAGGCGCCGTCATCACATCTATTGTGAAAGTTCATTACTGCTCTTCTTCAAGCGGTTGAACAGGTGACTCAACCCTCAGTGAAACAAACATTTATGCAGCGAACTGACTCCAATGTCGAGCAAAATGAGGCGTGTGCCCCTTTTGGCTCGACTTTGAAGTCAGTCTGCATAAATGACGACCTCGCATCAAGGAGCAGTACAAGAGATAAGCATCAGAAGATACAGTTATGAGCCAATAAGAATTCTGCCCAAGTTGTTCGAATGCCACAACTAAAGTTTCACATGGGGTACAGAGTCAAACGTTTTCGGGTACATTCTTCCATAGAAAGCTGACTTTCACTAAGGGTGGTCGCAGTAAGTTGCATTGTGCTCAATGTTTTTAAAAACATGACTTTCTGCGCAAATCAATTTGATGGTATAAAACTCAGAAGTTAATCTATAGCAAAATCATGCCGATCAGGATGAGTCTATCAGATGGTACTTCACTGAGCTGATAAAAAAAATCAGCAAACGTCCAAATTTTGCAAAACAATTCGGCAAACTGATCGCGGATATCCACTCGTTCTGCAAATCCTCTGTGGTGAAATCACAGTAGTATTTTCAGCTTGAAGGGTAAATGTACAATTTAACGAAGTTAGTATGCTGGTGATGATGATATCCATTTTAAGCTGACCATTACGTGACATCTAATGGAGCTTTTTTCAGCAAAACTTTAGATTTCAGCTTAGAAAGCCCACCAATATCCTTCACTGAAAATCTATTGCAGGGAAACAGCACGCTAGACCTTAGAAAGTTCACAGAACGGTGACTTTTTGCACCTATCGCATGTGGGTTGCGTTAGGACAACCGCGAGATGGGAGTCTTTTTGTTTCACAAAAAAAAACCTCCAGAGAAATATATGGAATGCCACCCATGTGATTTTCTGGCGTTGATTTTCGACAACGTTGTTTTTGCTCAATGCGGTCGAGAAAGTCAACCGAGCAGAATTCCTTGAGTTTCCCGGCAGAAACTTTGTCTGAGAGCTTTCCGCTTATTTGGACTTACTTCAGCTGACCGAAAATGTAGATTATGGAGCACGAAAAATATAAAAGCATTCCCAAGGCGCTCAATTCCAAATTTGGAGTTCTGCAGCAGAGCCTGTCATGGGCTGTGAGATCCTGTAGTCACTGGAACCACATGCACACCGTCGCATAGGTGGGAAATAGATGGGTGGGCAAGATGCGAGGTGAAAGAGAGCGGAATGCTTCCGGAGAATCTTAGGCCTTGTGGCTCATGTCAGGAGTCACGCCGCGCGCCGCGCCGCTTCGCCGCGAACGTGCGTCTAAATTTTGTACCCCACAGAACTGCCCGGAGCTAAAGTGGCAAGGCGCCAGTCTAGGGGGGTGGGGGGTGGGGGCAGATACATGGCTCGTGTCATAAGTAAGACTGCGCCAGGAATGCTAGCTTCTGTTTTGCTGACAACGCTCGCGGCATCGCTTCGCGAAAAATTCGCGCCGATCGTGACTCCTGACCGTCCCCCAGGCCTTGTGACTGTTTTGTTCCGACGGCCAACAGCCCATATTGGACCCATCTGACATGAGGATTACGCTGCTGGACAGATAACTCACACGGAGCGGAGGAAAAGAGTCCAAACAAACTGCATGTAATTGATCGCTATCTGCCATGGTGATACGAGCAAATTCATCGAAGTTGCGGGTTTTGAATGCTGTTGTTAGCCTCAAAAACAATGCATAAGACACAAAAAATAGTACAAGTGATGCAGTACCTTTTGATTCGACCCGGTACAACATTTTCCGCGCGGTGCTTCAATAACTCGCTTGTTTCCATTGTTCTACGCATTCCGATGCTGCTACCAACTTCTTTTTCAGCATCGTCAAGTATCAATATAACAGCACGCAGTTCGGGCCACCATGATTCGGGAAAAACTTGCTCAAACAATCTGTTGCCAATAAAGGATAGAATTCCACTTTCTGAGCCTCACCTTGGTGATGCAGTCGCACCCGGATGGATCAATACCAGCGCACCACTCCACCAATCCACCAAAAACACTACGGCACGCACTTCCAGATCCTAAATATGTACAATTTACGAAGGTCTTTCGTAAACGAATTGACTCGCTGTTCAAAAAGCTGCACCCAGTCTAGCTAAAGTTGAAACTTCTGTGATTGAGAAATCGAATAACCGGCCAATGCCAATCGCAATTGCAGCAAATCCTGCGGCAGAAGACGCTAATCCGGCTGCAACGGGAAAGTTTGTGCTTGACGAGATCTAGACGGTTCCAGCTGAAGTGACAAAGTTCATGACTCATTACATTCACCTCACCTCAAACCCAAGATTTTGCTCATCTTGTTTCACATGCCCCTCATTCTTCCGTTTTCCTATGAGATCACGAGCAAACTAAAATCTGGTACATACAAATCTGTAGAACTCATTATCTTCTGTGAAAGTCTTTAAGTAAAACTAGCAAGTAGTAAGAAGATCGAAGAACTTCAAAGATTTGAAAGCCTCTCGATTTGGAGATGAACTTACAAAAAGGTCGTAATTATTAAGCAATGATAGGCAAAACCAAGCTTGCGCACAGCATTAGTTACGCAGAATGGAACTTTATAATATAATCCGGGTGGAAAGTGCTGAGCGCAAGACGATGCCACATGTGATTCTGAACCAGCTTTTTTCTCAGTCCATGCTGTGAAAAGTCAACAGAATAATCGTAGGACTAAGGTGATCTAACAGGGAAAGGATACTTGGATGCCGTAGTCAATCATAATGATTTGTATACCAAAAAATGCGCTTTTGAATACTGGTTCGTAGACTGTCTTTCATATCTGCGAAACGATAATTTGAATGGCGTTATGATTTTTTTTTTCATTAAAAAAATTGCGTTCCTGCGGAGGGTCAAAATCATCAATAAAAAAATTTTCTTTCCTTTCCAAATGCTGAGTATGATCCAGATAGTCTAGATAAATATTACTACGTCTAAAATTTTCTTCAGTAGCATCAAACGGTAGGCTAGATCAAATCTGGTGATTTTTACTATCCAAAAGTAGCCTAAATTTTCAAGGAAAATAGTTCATAACTTTCTTCAAAAGATCGTTTCGCAGATTTCGAGCACAGATTCAGAATCTGTATTCGAAGGCGCATTTTTTGATATACAAATCATCAGGAATGGCCGCGGCATCCAACTATCCTTCCCTTGTAAGCTGAGAGAAACGTTTTCACACACATGCTGTCAATGCGCTTAGTACAGCTAGCGAGATGCACCATTCGTTGAATTAAGGCACGTTCTAGGTCACAGAATTCAAGAAAGGAGCACAACCTTCCAAATTATCGACGGAGCCCGAGTATATCGAGCTGGGAAAAGGCGACTTTCATGAACTTAATTTTTAATTATCGATCATTATGTATGTTTAGTAAACTACGCATATGTATAAGCATCACACCCCTGTACCATGCAACTCATTAATTCTGTGAAAATCGTTTGTGCAAAACTTTTTTGCCAACCGATTGAAAACAATACAGAAAGGGAATAACATTGCAAAAAGAAAAGGTTCTCACGTCGAAACAGCGCCGAAATCTTCTGCTTCTATCCAAATCCACCTTCAATCCGTTGATAGTGACTGAGTCCGTGATTTCGCAAGAGCATCGCACCATTGTATGTGCGACAAGGGCGTTGATATTCAGCGACATGGAGCTATTGACGGGAAGCATGAGTTCCTAAATTGACAATGAATCCTCTACACATCATTTTCCTGGGTCTGTATGGCCCTCAACATCTTTTTCCACGGAAAAGAATGGTGGTGTGAGAACAGCTAGATATAGATGCACTTATCCAAGTGCTTCATGCATAATTCTTCCACTTCTGCTCGCTCCACCGCCTCTCCTCTCCCCACGACCTCACATAACTAACAAGGGAAGGATACCGAATCGCGCTAGTGTTCAGCAGAAGAATGTACATCATTAAAGTCACTTCGGAACACTGATAACATGCCTGCTCTGCTTTCTAAATCTGTGCAAAGCTTTTGAGAGAAAAAAGTTACGGACCCCTGGGTCTACAATTTTGCCCTGTCTATGCCAGAGACAAGTAAGTAATAGTGATAAAAATAGAGATGGTTATACACAAAGTGTGTTACTTATAAACTAAAAACCATTTTATATGTAAATTTTGTATGTAAGTTTTAACTCCGTTTCGTTCCTGCCCTTAGACGGAGTACAGGAACTCCGGGCTCTCCCCGGAACTCCTCAGTAAGGAAGGAGAGCCCGTGAACCTGTTCTATTATATATCAAAATTTTTTGCTAAATGTTAAACTTAAACGATCAAATTTAACTTACATATTGATGATCTTATCGTATATTGGTATAGATAAATTATATGATAGTCTGAATAGCTGCCGTGAATAGAAATCTTTTGAGTATTAAGTGGGACATATTTGTGTATTTTTGTAAGCAAATTTTTTACATAATATTGATTCATTTCTAATGGAATCAATGATCAAGTCGGCTGTTCGTTATGTTTCTTATGTAATAGTCACTTATGGTAATAAGAACGAACGATTATTGGTTAGAGATATAAAGTGAGATGAAATATTTATGTATTTTGACAAATACTGGTTCAAGGCATTAGATATTACTTTGATCCTAATGTATTTTTTGATGTAGAATGTGAAACAAATTTTTGGTTTTATTGTAATTGTGAAATTCATATTTATATAGTATGAACTTATTTTTATGTAGACATTTGAAAATATTTGAAAGAATTATGTTTTCATCGTAACCATTAGAGATAAGTATGTTTCTCAGTTGTAACACTTTCTCAACAAAATCATTAAAATAGGTGCAAGTACGTGCAATTCTTAAAGTTTCTGTGTAAACTATAGCTTTTTTGATATGGATGGAAACATTAGAAGTCATGTGTATATATTTTTTTACTTGAAAATGAAAACTATCTGTCTTATTATACATTTTGGTCACTATCTTGTTATTAACAATTGTAATGTTTAAGTCGAGATAATTACATTTGAATTTATCCTCGTGTGTAGTATCTAAATCTAGTTTGTTTTCATATACGTTGATGATTGTATTATGAGCTTCACTTTCTGTGCTGTTATGTATGATTAATAAATCGTCCATATATCGGAATACATAAAGGTGATTATTGTAATTGGTTTTCTGAATCAAGTATTTATATTCATACCAAGATAACGTGAGATGCCATTAAAGGGCTAAAGGGTTAAAGTAAGTAATAGTAATGGTAATAGTAATAGTATAGTAAGTACTAGTAATGATACAACTTTCCCAGAAACGTTGATAGAGCAGTTGGTTTCCAGCCATAAGGTACTACCTAAGGGTTGTACCTAAGGTACTACCTAAGTTCTCTGCAAGCTTCCGTATTTTCACTAAAAATAATCTAAAACCGCGAACGGTAGTTTTCGTTATGATTGCGTTTTGAACACATTTCTGCCGCGGTAATGATGCATAATTACTCGTATTCGTCCGTAGACAGGACAAAAATTGTAGATTTAGGGCCCATAACTTTTTTCACGGAACCGTCTCGCTGATTTGGAGAATGGATGTGTAATCAGTGTCCCGAAGGGACCATAATGATACACATCTCTTTGCTAAACGCCGGTGCAACTCAATATCCTTCACTAACACCGTACACAAGAGTGATGAGGTTTTGATGTCGTATAAGAGCCCGTATCTACGCATTGGCTCTAGTTCTGCTACAAACGATGAACGGGAGAAAACCGATACAAATGGCAGAAGCGGCCAAGGTAGCTCCGCCAATCAGCGTAAGTGGTGTGAGAATAACAAGTCCAAAGTTGGGCATCAGGATAGAGGGGGATGCCGAAAAGCCAGTAATCATAACACTGATACATCTGAGCCCGATTTTGAACATGTTATCTTCACACCATCCACATTGTTAAGCAAAGACATTTTAAATGCTTCTGCTTTCTGGAGCGGTCTTCTCGCTTCAGAACTCATCTTCTGCGGCGAGACTTAGGCGATCGTTCATTTAAGCCCTATTGCCCTCATGCCCCCTATTACATAGCATCAAAGTCTCATCACCCTCAGATTGAGCGTACAGTGCCCCTGAGAGTATGTAAATAAGAAAACGGCGTGTTAGCACGTACATCTACTGCTACATGAAAATGATCATGAACATTTCGCACATTCCCTCCAAGCACTTGAAAAAGTGGGTCCTCACATCCCACGGCCAGTTGATGCTCAAACTCCCTTAGCCAATCACGAGAATCCCAAAAGTGGAGAAACAAAATCGAAATAAATATAAAGAGTGAAAAGGAATGAAAAGGACCAAACACTCAAAACGTAATGTCTTACCTCATCTCTTTTGCCCCAATACTTGATCAGCGCAATGTTGATTGGCACTTCAACTTCAACAACTCCATGATCGTGAAGGCAGGAGACCATGCAGCTAGAAGATTTCTATATCATTTGATTAAATGGTCAAGGTTCTGAGGGAAGCATAATGGTTTCTACCATTAAATAAATAACATTTGACTAGCAGCGGAGAAAAAACTTTATGGAAATCGATAAACAAATATAATGTACAATGGCGTGCAACTCATAACAAAAAAAGATAAACGTAAAATCAAGCAAGTCTCCAAATTATATGCAGGCCAGAATCGGTCTCCACAATATCGCTCATCTCACCAATGTCAAGGGCGAATGAAGCATCTTCAAATGGTTTCTGCATTTGACGTCGACCAAACATTCCTCAATAGTAAATGTAAGAAAAGAGATTTTGCACTGAGACACTGTAAATTCACTTCATTTGCATCCTGCAAGAAATACGTAAATCATATCAACTATTTCTAATCATTTAGATAGAAAATGGAAGCATTGGCGAAGTATGGCAGAAATTCTATATCAAAAATTCGTGGGCGGGGGTCTAAAAACACCAATTTTACTTGGACCTTCGTTAAGGCGACTAAACAGCAATTTTTTGCGATTTTTTCTGTAAATGTACTCTCCCAGCCGTTCAGTACAGAATGCTAACGATACGTGAAAACTGATACGAAGGAATGAGAGATGGCCAAAATGAAAAGCTTACCAAGGTCTCCTCCTCGCTTTGCTGAACTACAATCGCTGTACTGTTGCGCTAGCTTTCGGAAAGTCGCTTCAGGATTATCAGAGTTACGGATTTGCTTGATGTAGTTTTCCAGAATATTTCGCGCATCCTCCTTACTTCGAGTGATCTTGTCCTGGCGCCAACTAGACGGACGGCGACTACCCGCATGCTTGACAAGAAGATGAGCAGCTCTCACTTGCGTGAGCTCCGAACCTTTTCCAAAAGCTGCCTCCGTGGGTCGTTCCCATTGACTTCTACCCGTTGCTTGGTTGTAATAATACTCTTGATTGTTAGTGCGACTCATACGTTTTTCCCATCCGGCAGGAAGTGGCTGCTCCGGTTCATGATCATCCGACATTCAGTCAATCTGAAACCATGTATGGACTGAGGAAGTCTGCGCACATTTGTTAACATTTGTTGGAGTAAATCATCACAACGAGGTTTTGAGATAAACAGATGACAACGCATTTTCTGGAATATACACAAGAGAAAACATGCGATCACACCTCCCCCCCCCCCCCAATAAGTTTTCTTAGAGATCGGTCAGAGTTTGCCAGTGTTGCCGGTGTTGAAAGCGTTGAAAGTGTTGCCGTTGCCTGTTGCCTGTTGCCGTTCAACACTTTCAACACCGGCAACACTTTCAACACTGGCAACACTTTCAACACTGTTAACACTTTCAACATTTTCAACACCGGCAACACTTCCAACACTGGTAACACTTTCAACACTTTCAACACTTTCAACACCGGCAACACTTTCAACACTTTCAACACCGGCAACACTGGCAAACTCTGACCGATCCCTTAGAAAGGCTGACCAAAATTTGAAGGAGTCTCTACAGCCTCTTCTGTTTCTTCGAGGAATGATCTTACTCTTGATATAAAAATGGAGTTGGCTTTTAGTAGAGCCACGTACGAAGGCAGTGGACACAAAAGCTCGCCCGCGCGCCATTTTTAGCATCAGAGCGCACAAGTCTGACAGTGTGTGATCGTGGCGCTAATTTCCAGAATTATAACGTGCGCGCTACGTGGTGAGTTGGCAAATGCTGGTTGCTTTCTAGCACGTGGCTTTTGATGGGGAAAGAATTGAGTCAATCACGACGCCATTGCTGTGGGGCGCTATATCAATAATGGTTGTTGGCCTTAGAGCCTGATAAGCAACTGTCAAATACCTAGTTAGGTTAATGAAAAAGTAGCCATGTCATTATCGAAAATGTGGAGCACAATGTTGTGGAGCCTGAACAAGTGCTATTAGTTGACGCTGCTTCACGTTTGATGCGAAGAGTCGAAAAACTGCAACAAATTTTGGATAAGAGATAAAATACAAAAAGAATGGTAGTCACAAAATCCCAAATTTGCTATGTTGTTATTCAGATGTTTCCTATTCATGAAGAATAGTGACAGTCCTCTCTTTCACAAGAAGAAATTCAAGTCCGAAACGGTCAAGACTCAGGGTGGAGAAACGACGCTTTACACTGAGCTCCTTGCTGGAAGATAGATTTCCAAATGCACTCATCGAAAACTGAAAGAAATCACAATTTTGTGGACGAATTTCCGAAAAGATATGCTTCATGACAATACACTCATCTGGTGAAGCTTCAAAAACGACCACGAAAGCGTCATTGCGCACATGTTCCCATAAACTGGCAAACGATTTTGTAAAAACTTTTGTATAATAACTATTCACTGTCTCTGATTTGTATGTGCGTGATAAACAAGCCTTTTTTTAGTGCGCTATTTCATTATAGCATTTATAGAATCGTGACGACGGATTTGACTGCGGTCTCTGCACCCTCTGGAGCATATCACCCTCATACAAAAAGGCACCACCTCAACGCTCAGCTCATTCACTTCCAGTGTCCAAGTACTAATCATCAAGCAGAAAAACCGTCGGGTAGAGATTGAAACCGAGAAAACGGATGTCAGAAGATGCGTGTCGCGCGCGGTCGCGCCATCGTCACTATTTTTCGGATGCCCTATACGCACTTCGAAAGGAACACCTGCCGCAATCTATTTGTAGCGAATGCGCTTGCATTACAGTCTGCTCCAATCCCAACCAGGCCAAATTTGGCATGACGCGAGACGTCGCTAGGGTTTCGCGTCTCGCCCACGGCCTGCTTGTCTGCTTTCTCTTCAATCCTTTTGCTCACTCCGACGGCACGCATATGCAGCGCAGACTGCTACGCTGCGAGCGCAATTACGCCAACTCGGTCTGATCCCGATTGGAGCAGACTGTATGTACAGTCGAGTAGATTTTCCGCTTAATATAGTGTGCTTGGGGTGCCGTAAAAATGCGGTAGAATTTGTGCGCAGAAAAATAGCAACGCCTGTAATGCCGGCTATGAGCGCAAAGTACTGGCATTTCAGGCTTACCTATCTATTTGTTAACGAGCCAATTTTACGCATTTTCTCGGCACCGCAAGCGCACTACAAGCGGAAAATCTACGGTCGAGTAGATTTTCCGCTTGATATGATGTGCTTGCAGTGAAGGTGAGATGCGGTAAAATTTGCGCGTGAACAAATAGCCTGTGACGCCGGCCAATTGCGCGCGCAAAATACTGCCATTATTGGAGTGGCTACTTGTTCACACGCAAATTTCACCGCTTTTCAGGTAGATGCCAGAGTAAGCGAATAATTTGTTCAGGTTGGGGTGCGCAGAATTCACGTCACTTGGATTGACGCCAGCATGGTGAGTGATGTCCATTCTGCGCGGAACCCCAACCTGAACAAAACATTCGTATTCACACTTCTTACCAAATACTCACTCGAGTTATTCTCAGTTCGCGTAAAACTATAGAGTTATCAGATGATTTTGCTCAAAGGATTCTTCTCAGACAGTCGACGGCATACCTCCGGAGCAGAAATGGCAGACCGCGGGGTTTCCCCAGAGGGTTTGCCACTCATGCTCCAGAGCTCTCCCATTTTGTGCTCCGGAGACCTCCCATTTGCGCTCCGGAGACCTCCCATTTTGTGCTCCGGAGGTGTCCCAAATCTGGCGTACCTCCGGAGCGCAAATCTGTGCTCCGGGGCTCTCCCAAATCCAGCGTACCCCCGGAGCAGAGATCTGCAAGCCCGCCGGAGGGGTCCCATCTGCCTTCTTGTGACGTCGCCGTGACGTCACAGAAAGAGACCGCCCCCTCGCCCCGCTCTCAATGGTCAATTGGATCCTCCGCGGCAGAAAAAGTTAAATGCTCAAAATAACATACCGTAACCTGCGTCCTTCAATAAGCTGGGGCACGTTTTCATGTAGGGACTTGTGCGATATGCGAACATATGCGACAAAATGGGCGGATGGGAGATAGACACATTGAGCGGATGGATTCATGACTGCTTGGTGTATGTCTTACTAGATCACTAGGTAGTAGGATACAAATACGATTAGGTAGGTGTTGTCTTGCCCAACTTAGTCCCTACACATCCTTGTGTTTTATGATAAGGACGTCTATAAATACCCTATTTTCCGGAGTATAAGCCGCACCTTGTATAAGCCGCACCCGCCGCAGCGAACAATGGCGCGAAAGCGCTTTAGAAAAGAGCTATATAGCAAATTGAAAACCCGGTGCGTTCTAGTACGGATAGTCATGTCTACCTTTTTTTCTTGTTTCATATGACTTTGCGGGTGTCTGAGTTGTGTTTTCTCTCCTAAACGATACTACTGGTTGACTGCGCTTTCTTTTTTCAATGATGTTACTGAAGTGTCATGTCTACCTTTTTTTCTTGTTTCATATGACTTTGCGGGTGTCTGAGTTGTGTTTTCTCTCCTAAACGATACTACTGGTTGACTGCGCTTTCTTTTTTCAATGATGTTACTGAAGTGGTGCTGAAGTTGTGCTTTCTTTTATATTGATTTACCGGTCTGAAGCTCATCACCTTCCGATTCCATGTTACTACTGGTATTCGAACGTTCTTTTATTGTTCAGCGGATTCTTGAAGAATAATTGAGAAGGTAGAGAATTTTGTTACAAACAAATACACTTGCGAAGAAACCAAATAAAGAACGAAAGCAAAAAGTCCATATTAGATTACCAGAAGAAATAGATAGTAGTTGCTGCTTGTGCGGCTTCGCGCATCGCGAACGACATCGCAATTTAGCCCGCGCGCGGTGAAAAGAAATGCGGCTTATACTCCGGAAAATAGGGTACTTTGTGATAAAATAACATTTCTTTGCATGATAACTTTTCGTTCCAAGTGAGTGGGAAAGTGGTTGTTGTTATGAAGCGAAATATTGTGATACTTCCGCTTGCAACGTTTTCCCGCAAGAGTAGACGTTTGCAAGTATCATTTACCATGATCGGACATGGTCGTCGCATGTACTTTGAACAATTCAGAAATTCCATGCATCTTTTGCAAGAAAAAAACATTTGGTTGTTTGCAATGAAATTTGAAGAAGCATGCTACACGGTAGCTTTCTTGCCAGATTGCCTAGAGCGAAGGGATATTATCACTTAACTTTCCGCGCAACCCTACCCGAAGAGGGTAGTTTATCCAAAATAGCTATACAGAGGGATTGCGTGTGCACAAGAAGAGGAAGTAAATCTCTACTTCAATCATAAATTCTTCTCTTGCAAGATAAACAACAGTTTTGTTACAAAGGTTTCCCCATGATCGATCTGGTTGCAACCACACTTCCAACATCTGCATCTATGTGTACCTTAGCTGTATGCAGAGGAAAGTTTATCAATTTCTTGAGCAGCTGATAAACATTGTCGCAATGACTTTGAGAGCTTCGGAAACTCTCACTGCTAGAAGCGTTCCATCCAATGTCTAACTTCTGACTAGTGCCGCAGCAGCTGCAGCTAGTGCTGCATTCGGTTTCACTCCTCCGGAGCTACGCCACCGACTGTCTGAGTTATCAGACGTATGGCGAAACAGAAGCGAGCAGCAGAAGGAGAGAAGCACTAGGAAAGTAGTCAGTCATAGTCAAGCACTAGGAAAAAAAGAAGTGACGAAATTATGGAGATGTTTTGGAAGCGGTAGGACCGATATAAATGACTCCTTCTTGCACTATGAATCGAAGTTCGGTACTTTGTCTGGAGATCTGTACCAAAACTACATTCTCTAAGAAGGCCTGTTTTGAGATCCATCAAGTACTAATTTGCGCGGAAGCCTTACTACAAAATTTTTTTCTGTGTTTCCCAAATATCCTGTATGCGTGGAAACCAAATGGTAGCACGCTACACAAGACACACTTTCACTGCGACTTCACAACCAGTTTACAAGTTAGCACGAAGATGTCATCTACAGATAAGAACATAGCATCACACTGATCTGCTATGCATGCATCTGCAATATAAATTGTTTATTACTTCCAATAATATGACGTAGTATATGGATGTAATCAGATATCATTGACAGTGTCTGCAGAGCAAGTGAATTATTATCCAGAACACTCAAAGAAAGCAATATGTAGCAGGCAAGCGATACGAAGTGAATGGCATCACAAACAATCAGCAACAACCCCAATTGGTAGGGACAACAGTGAAAGACATCATAAAATGCACAACCTATTCAAATGGCAGGAAATTCATCACAGGATCACATAATGCATATGTTATTAGATAATGTTCACAGTACAATTACATTCAGCATAAGCTTTGCATCCTAATGCATTACAAGCGCTTGAGCTTAACTTCATTGCCACCATTTTGGAGAAAATATATCAAACTGGAGCATGCTTCTTTTTCAAGCTTCTTCTTTTCTTACAGATCTCATCCGAGATCACTTCGACCAACCATGTTTCTCCGCCAAGGCTATGAGCAACAGGACGTGCATACATGGATTTGCTGGTACTACGCTGAGAAGACACAAGCGGCGGATCAGGAGAGTCAAGTGAGTGCTGAAAATAATGAATGCGCCGAAGCTAGGAGAAAGAAGATTTATATATAAAAAACATTGATTCACATATTGATAAAATATGAAGAAACCCACCGTTTTTAAACCAATCAAATTTCCCTTCAACGAACGCACCCGCCACGACCTACGCCGCGCTGCACAAGTAGTGGAAGCCGAACAAGAACAGTTCTTTCCACTTGACCCGCTCCCTGTTCTCTAAAATAATGAAATTCATTCAGACACATAGCCTTCTACCTGATTAAGCTTTTGGCGCGTCGTAGGTATTTTACCAAAGTGTGAGAGAGAGAAAGGTGCGATATAAAGGATAGGCACCACGCACCCAGATTACGGATTCTGAGATTTTGAGGCTGTATAATAGCGGTGCACCTAATTAAGTAATCGTACAACTCCCGCTGCAAATGATGGATTCCAAAGCGAGAAAACCGCTCCAAAAGGTAGAAGCGGCCCAGGTGGCTTGTCAGCTAGGGTGGTCTGAAGGTAATGAGCTTGAAAGCGGGCTTCAGGGTAGATGAGAATGTCGAAAATCTGATAGCAATAATGAAGGACAGATTTATGACGACTTTCAATACATTTAAGCCCGATTTTAGACTTCTTATCAGATAACCAGCTTTTACGGACGAAGCCACTTGGCCACTCCTACCTTCTGAGCGTTCTTCTCGTTTCGGAATTCATCTTTTGCAAAGAGGCCTGGGCGATCACTTAGTGAAGGTCCGCTATTATACAACCTCAAATATCACCAACCTCAATTTGATTGGATATAGTGCCTTCAAAATAATCAGCCCTGCAATTAAATACAGTCGAATTGGGATACTTTGCTCGGTCCTGTCAACACCGCATAAAGAACTCACTGTTCCGTCTCACTTTCGTACAACAACTCCCCGTCCCTCTCCCATTTCTGTACGCCACTTCCCTGCCCTATTGTATGAGTGTATATCATAATCACCATGTTCGCTTATTCCCCCCCCCCCCCCCTCCCCCGCCCCAAACTATATGTATATACAGAGTTTGGTCCGGATCGGTCCAAAAATTATCTATTCGAAACATAAATGACAACGATTCTATTTCACTATTGTATATTTAGCTTCAATGTTCGCGCCGATGTTTGGATGCATGAACTGATTCAAGGAATTCGCTCAGTTGAAAATAAAAAGAATTGTTTCTTTCCCACACAGTGATAGTTATTGGTACAGTTGAAGTTTTCAAAAATCCCGTCAACATACCTCCAACACTTGCCTCCCTTTTTTTGACTGATGTAAACGTTCACCGCGGCTGATTTTGGAGATATCCCTCTGTATCAGTGGAGTTTTATCAGAAATCTGTGGTTCGTCTGCCTCAGCAAAACCAACAGGGCCAGATGCGCTAATGACAAACACTTCAGGATCGGGCGCATTCGAGCTCGGCCGTGACGTTATTACCGTCGGAGACAGAAACCTGGAAAAAGCATGCTGTGAAGAGGGAGCGTGAAGAAAGAAAATGCTAAAATACCATTCGCTTCGACTTCGCATTCGTCGAGCTTGATTCTCATGCACCCAATCTAAAAAGGAGAATGATCGCGACGAGTCGCCTCCGCAAGCGGTCACGGGACGCAAAAAATCGGAGCCACATCGTTCTGGATCGATGACTTCGGTTTCGTGCAAGACCTGTAATAAACGCGAAAGAGATTGCTACTTTATATTGTCATCCAAACATGTGGAGGCGACTAAACTTCGCATAGAAAAGGCGTGATAGACGAATTATCTACACTCGACTGCTTCGGTGAAGGAAATCGGCTAGATATTAGGTTGCCCTGAATTTTGTCGGTTTTTTCAAACCGCAATAATACTGCTCACTAAAAATGAATGAGTTTCAACATGCATTCGATGCAGCTTTTTCTTCTCTTTCCTATGGGTACATTTCCGAGTCACAATCCTGTATGCTTTTTTTATGATTGCCACAATTCTTCACCTGTCAGTTTTATTAGGTTGTCCCGAAAGTTTTGTCCGTTTTTTCCTCGCTCTCTAAATCTCAGAGAACACCAATCCATGGACGACATAGGTGCCATTTAATTCAGATTTTTATCCTCTTTCTTACAGCTATATTTACTTTCTGATCTACCCTGTCTTTGCAGTGTTACCGCCATGGCTTTTTGAGCAATTCAGCAGTAACGCCAAATCTTTTCTGAATAAAAATTTATCCTGATGTTTTCAGAGAGCGATGGCAGCTTTTACGTAGAGCAAACCTTTGGCTACATTATATCCATGTTAGATTACACGGATCACGTCTATCAAGTCTGTTATAATTATTTATTTGATAAAAACCGCGGCTTTTTGATTACTACCACGAAAAAGTACCGAAGATTCCAATTTTTTGAAGCAGATCAAACTTGGTTATGTTATAAATGATGTGTAATAAGACATGTTTTGATTCGCAGAAACTTCCAAAGCTTTCGAGTATTTGCTGCAGTTGTGTGTTTCATGACCTTGCCAAAAACTGAGACCTCGGAAGAAACAATTTTTTAGAGCTAAAAACAGCAGATATTAGAAGAATCAAATAAATTACTTTGTAGTCCGAGAATTTCTCTATTTTATCCTTACCTGGGCCTTTCCGAAACTTTAAAATGAAATTTTTTAGAATTTGCCTAAGTTTGAGCAGATATTGACGGGTGGAGAATTTTGGCAATTATCAAAAAAAAGCATAAAAGATTGTGGTTCGAAAATGTATCTGTAAAAAAGAGAAGGAAAAGCTGCATCAAATGCATGTTGAAATTTTTCAGATCTTTATTGCGCGTGGTTTTATAGTGGTTGAAAAAACCGACAAAACTTTCGGGACAACCTAACATTTGTAAATACAGTTTTTCAAAGCTGTTAACCAAGGTTGGTAGCAAGATTTATTGAACGAAAAGCCAACGTTTCGGCGGTCCGTCCGCCTTCTTCAGAGTTCTCAAAGTCTCGATCTTTCAGGAAGCCCTGAAGAAGGCGGACGGACCGCCGAAACGTTGGCTTTTCGTACAATAAAGTCTTGCTACCAACCTTGGTTAACAGCTTTGAAAAACTGTATTAAGAATTTGAACCACAATGCCAAGGTTTATCGACAATCGAGCACGAAACCTAATATTTGCTCAAAGTTAGGCTAGTTTTTAAAATTTCAGTTCAAAATTCCAGAGGGTTAAGTATGGCACAGATAGAGCAATTTTCGGACTACACGGTGATATTTTTGTCTTCTAACCTGCTGGTTTTAGCTTTGAACAATTATTTCTCCGGAGGTCTCAATTTCTGACAGAGTCATGAATCACGCAACTGCAGCAAAAGAAAGCTTTTGAGATTTCTGCAATTGAAACTTGACTGCTAATAAACATTATTTCTGCAACAAAACCAAATTTAATTTGCTTCGAGAGGTAACTTTAGTGGTAGACGTAATCAACGCCGCGGTTTTTCTTGAATAAATAATTATTTAGAACTTGATAGGCGTGGCCCATGTAATCTAAAATAAATGCATGTAACCAAAGACTCGTCTACATAACAGTTATTAGCGCTCTTTGAAGATAAAAAGAGAGAATTTTCTGAAATTCAGGAAATATTTGGCATTAATGCTGAACTGTTCAAAAAGCCGTGGCGATGACAACGCAAAGACAGGATAGGTCAGAGAGCAAATAGCTGTAAGAAAGAGTTTGATATCGTCCATGGATTGGTGTTCTGTGTGTTTTAGTGAACGACGAAAAAAACCGGCAAAACTTTCGGGACAATCAATATTATGGAACTTAATCGCCATATATTAGGTAAATACAAAAGTTCTGTCGCATTTTTGAAAAATCATAACTTCTTGCTTTCTCAATGGATTTGCACAAACTAAATTTTGCTAGATAGAGAAGACCCTTCCCTTTGTGAAAGTGCCTTTGCTGCTCTCTAGTAAAAGGCAGATTTTGAGATGAAAGTAGGAGAAAATTACTTCAACTTCGGTCACGTTGAATCGGCTGCTAAATATCTGAAACTTGCGATAAAATTCCGCGCACGCAGTATAGTAAATCTTTTAATCCACAGTTTTCAACAGCGCAGAGTTTGTGTTAAAAGAATATCTCTGTAAAGGATTGTGATTAAAGGCATTGGCTCGCCAAATCCTCGACCTGTGGTCGAGCGCGTGTAAGAATGGCTTGCGCGCACGTATTTAGGGCGAATTTTCTAGAGAGGGGCAGCATGCTGTGCGCTCGGACCTGCTCCGTTCTCTGTGTGGGGTGCAATCACCCTTCGATTCAAAAATTTTGAGAAGTTTGGTTTCGTCGAGCCATTGCCTTTAATAGCAAATTCTTTGCATTTTTTCGATCATAACTCCTTACAGAAATGCTCTTTTAACACAAGCTCTGCACTGTTGGAAACTGTGGATCAAAAAACTTACTATACTACGTGGTCGGAATTTTGTCGCAAGTTTCAGATGTTTAGCAGCCTGACTAAAAATGACCGAAATTGAAGTAATTTTGTTCTCCTGCTTCCATCGCAAAAGCTGCCCTTTATTAGAAAGCAGCAAAGGCATTTTCACGGAGAGAAGGGTTTTCTCTGCCTAACAAAATTAAGTCTCTGCAAATCCGCCGATAGAGTGAGAAGTTACGATTTTTTAGAGATGATTGACCATGAAATAAAACACGCAGTATGACCCAACGGTATCCAGAGATCTCGATTTGACAGCCTAATGGATGTAACGGTTGAGTGTTCTTCCATTGGCGACAAAGTTTGCGTGTAAACAACAGCAATATGCGACCTATACCCATCAAGTAAGGCTGCTAAACAACGCGCAATAGTCAAGCCGCAAAGGTAGCAAGCTGCAACGACTCGGACCTCGTTTAGACAATTCTTAGCCTATGTCGGTAAACCACCCGTGTTTATTGCTAGCTATTCTACCTATTCCTGGAAAAAACTGATCATGAAATACGGACAAAATGCCGAAAGTTCAGGATGTTGGAATCGTCCATTTTTGTCTTTTGATAAACTATGTTTAAAAAGTCATAAACCGAACTGCATTAGGTCTGCTTCGATGTTGAGAAACGGTTTTATAGACGAAGTTTTGCTTTTTCGAATGTATATACTTTGCCGTAAACAAACAGCTTCATCAAAAACAACGACGAAAATAGAAAGGCTTATGAAACAACTGATAAATTCCTATATGTTTAATGTATTAATGATTGATGGTTGATGCAAAAGTTCTTTCGCACCAAATTCAAAAATGCATAACTTGTTAAATTCTCAACGAATTTACAAGATCTAAATTTTGTATAAGAGAGGAACTCATGCTCTTTGTAACTGTACTTGAACTGTTCGTTAATATGTACAAATGAAGGAGATAGAAGCTCAAAACCAAAATCACTCAAAATTTGAATTTTTCGTGTAGGTTCATAAAAAATCGGAAACTTGCAACAAAAACGGAGCAGTCGATATTGTAGGTTCTTTTATCCGCTCTTTCAAACAGTGCAAAGTTTGCGCCGATTGATCGTCTCTATGAAAAGTTATGATTTTCGAGCAAGCAATACAAAAGGACGAATTTGATTTATTTTAGTATTTTTCAGGGAATTCATAACTTTTCACAAAGACGCTCACTCGGCGCAAACTTTGCACTGTTGGTAAGAACTTGTGAAAGAGCCTACAATACAGAAAGCTCCGATTTTTGTTGCAAGTTTCCGATTTTTTATGACCCTACACGAAAATAATTTTGAGTGATTTTGGTTTTGACCTTCTATCTCCTTCATTTGTACGCATTGACGAACAGTTCAAGTAAAGTTAAAAAGAGCATGAGTTCCTCTCTTACACAAAATTTAGATCTTGCAGATTCGTTGAGAATTCAACAAGTTATGAATTTTTGAAAATGGGGGGAAAGAACTTCCGGTTCAACTTAATATGTTGACCTATTGGAAGAGTTGGGAGTTTCCCCTGTGCTCGTTCTAGCACCATCTATATTTGGCCTGTCTATGTCAACAGCATCAACAAAAGACTGCATGCATAAATATACTTCGTCAATGATGTAGACCCGCCTTCAGTCATGAAATGGGGAGCGGATAACATTGTGGTCCCAAAGCACTTTTTTTGATTATGGCTACAATTTCATGTGGATGACAAATTATGCGGTCTAAATCTGGTAAAACTTCTTATGATCTTTCAAACATCTACCATTCTTGTACATTTGGTGTTTAGCCAGCTTCCGCAACTTAGAAACTGACATCTTTCCATAACACCCATGAAGTCGGAACCATGCGTCTAAGCCCCGTGCATACTTCACGCGACTTCTGTCGCGACGCAGTTTGGCAAAACCCAACCGTTTTTAAGTCGTCGTAAGTGCATTCTGAATGCCAGTGGCCGTATGTGTCAACGAACTCTGGAAGTAAACCTTACCCCTGAGGGTAAGTTTTACCCCAGAAAAAATAGA